CATATTTCTTTACAAGCACGGTGTTTGCCTTCACAAAGAGGAACGACAGAGTGGAGGAGCAAAGATCAAACAACAAACCAAAAGGCTTGGCCTTTTTTTTTTTTTGAGATCTTTAGCCAATGATCAAATCTAACTAAATTAAGTTTAAAAAAAAAAAGGTTAACTTTTTTGAGTTTCTTTCAGGCAGAGGACCAAATTTAGAGCTTTGTTTTTTGTTGTAAAAAGTGAGATTTGCACTTCAAGAATCAAGATTGAAGAGAATTATGAAAATTGATTGAAACCCAGAATGAGAAATTTGGGATTTGGGTTTGTAATTTAGGCCATGGTCACAAGATCTTTGGGTTTGTAATTCAGAATCCCCCCCGCTCTTTGGCGAAGCAATGAAAAAAATAATTTTTTTTTGCTAGTCTCCAGTAGCTTATTGGAATTGTGTTCAAAGCCAAAAACCCATCTGGGTTCGAGACTAGCAGAGAGAGAGAGAGAGAGAATAAGAGAGAGGTCAAAAAATCAATTTTTAATTCAACAATGAATCATGTGCCTTACATGTGACTTTTTTAACAGAGATTTGGATGAAAATTGCTAAAAACTAACAATCGGGGGTAAATTGGCAATAAAATTTAGTATGAGTGCTAAATCGGCTGAAAAATTAATTCAGGGTGTAGATTTCAACAAGCGTGATAGTTCAAGGGGGTATTCGGCAGTTTACCCAAAAAAAAATAAGTACATTGTTTTACTAAGTACATTATTTGGAGAGAGAAAATAGGTTCATTTAAAAAAAAAAAAATTAGGTATATTATTTTACTCGGTAAATTATTTGGAGAGAGAAAATAGGTTCATTTATATTTGTTCTCATCTCATTTAAAATATCTCCCACTATCTAGATCATAAGGTTCCCCAGAACTTCTAGGAAAGTGATATGTTGCTTTCATTTAGTAGTCGTGATATTCATTATATGTTGTGTTCTATTTAATCAGGTTTTCGATGTAAAACTTATATTCTTTAATATTTTATTCATATAGGACTTCTATATAGAACGAAAACCTTCGAAAATCTCCACAAACAAAAGAAAAGGAAAAGGTTAATAAGAAAATGGAAAATGCCATGTGGGATCTAAGTCTCAGAATAATAGTTTGAAGCGTTCAGATTTAGGTTTTTTTTAAAAGAATCAAGTTGGAAAGAAAAAAAGACTAAACCAAATTGTTTGTAAAATAAATAGACGAGTGAGCCCAACAATAGTGTGGTACATGTTGAGTTTTGCTGAACTTAAAGTCATCTTTATTATTTAAGGCAAATAAAGTCCACTCTATTATTAATTAGATGGATTACGTACGTACGACATATAATTTGGTGCAGATAACGTAGTCTCTTTGGCATTGCACTCAATTCTGTTCAAGGATTAATTTGAATTCAATTGTATGCAAATCGAGCTTTGCTCTCAAAAGGTGGTCTTTGTTGCCATAACTTTAAGATACATTAGCTCTGAATATTTAGTATAAAAAGGTCTAGAATGGTGCGCCTAATCCAAAATGATGCCCCTTATGAAAAGGAAATATTTGTTTTTCTCACCACTTTAGCCTAAGGTCAGGGGCGAAACCACACTAAGGGCTACAGTCGGCTGTAAGGAAGTAAATGTCATTGTCATTTTACTTTCATTTATTTTTATATTACTCATTTTACTTAAGTTTACAATGTAAATAAAGAAGTACCCCCCATTTGGATTCAAATAAAAATACTAGAAAATCAAATTCCCCCCAAATCAAAATATGAAAAATCGGTTTTAATGCAAAATACGATTTAGGCTAAAAATGATGGGTCATTAAGTCAATATATACTTCAGACTAAAATCTCATAAAATCAAGTTTTCTTATTTGATGTGTGAGGAATAAAAGCCGCCAAAAATTATCTCGAGAAAATAATTATTCCGAAACACCATTTTTCATACTTAGTCAATATTAATCTAGGTAAAAAGCCTTAGATGTTCAATCCACTATGGTGTTAAACCCTATTTGGTTTATGTTAAAACTTATTGAAAATTAGTCTATGGAGCTATGAACTAGCATGGTTTATATGATTTAATGTTTACTTTTATTTCTAGAAAAACTATAGAAATTGTAAGTACCAAAAAAAATAATCATTAAATTTTAAGCTAATAACTTTATCTAGCCCACCCGTTGAAAAATTCCTGGATCCGCCCTTGCCTAAGGTGTACTCTTACCACCCTTCTCACCACTTGAATGGAATGTGGTTACCTATAGTCTGTTGACATAACCATAGTTAACTCATTGCTTTGTATTTATGGATCTATGGTTATACATATAGACACGTGTCAAATATTAAGAATAATGGTGAGGGTCGATTATGAAAACTGTCCAATCCAAGGGAATAAATAAGGGTATGGTATAATTGACGTTTCATAGTTATCATGATCGAGAAAGTTATCTTAACAATGCAAGAATACCTTACATCTCATTAAAAATATTCAGTACATTAGGTAATCTGCGCAAATTTTGGTTAGAACCCTACATACCTTAGCATTTGCAAATTTTACATGCATTATATATAAACCAAACTACAGGCAGTACGTCTCTAGGCAATCTGCGCAAATTAATAAGGTAGTGATATAACTAAATTCTATCATTTTAAATTTATAATTAATTAATTACCGTTTATTATTTGAAATTTTAATTACGATAGTTGCACACACAAGAAAAAACTGAATTAGAGCCATATTATTAACAAAAGGGTGATTTTCTTGTATGTTATAGACAAATCAATGCAAAAGATTAAAATTGGACAGTTAGGGCTAATAAGGACTTTACCCTTACTATGCGTATTGGTGTTGGGACAGTCTTTGTTGTAAACACGAATATGGTAAACATTATGAGCTCACCTATGCCTTCTGTTTTTTTCTTAATGATTAATGGAAAATTATCAGATGCAGCAAACTTGTATGATATGTCTAATTAGGATACATGCATATTTAACATTGATTGTTTCTAGTACCTGAAACAAGTTCTGAGAGAGTTTTTAACATCCATGAGCACTCTCTCAATTTTAAGATTCTGGAGTAGGTATACTTGGTTCTTGATCATTAGAAGAAATGAATTAAATCTCTACCTAATTCGGTTAGTTTGTAAACTCATCATAGTCAAACCTATTAATGAGATATGTCCACATCCTTCCTATAAAGATAGGTCCGCATATGTGTCATACTTACATGGTTTGCTTATAGGTTTGTATTGGTTTTGTTATATTGCACATTTGTATTTTTATTTGCATCTGCATGTATATATTTATTGGAAATGCAAGTTTAAACAAAACTTGGAGCAGGCATCATGGAATTAGAAAGGGTATGTATTTTTAGCAAGTGACACCCGTACATTCGGAGAGATGATATTATCTTTTTTTGGAATATGGTTAGTCCTACAAGGGTGTCCGTCAAATAACATTGAACGAAAGTGGTGAGTAATAATAACTTTTTAATCACAGGAGTCTTTTGATTTAACACTTTTTTAAACATTGTTGTTGGAAGAGATGCTTTGTTAAAATAATAATAATAATAATAATAATAAGCACCATAAGAGTGTTCAACATATAGCACTGAACCAACCAATACTATTCAAAACCCAAATATAAGAGACATGAACAAATGCGTAATCTTGAAAAAGAGACTCGCGCTTGAATATTTAAAAGGGAAACAACAAGAAAGAAAAGAAAGAAGAGGAAGCCTGAACACCCCTTAGGATCTGCACATCAAAAAAATCTTGGCAGCAGCAGAAGCTTGCAACCTACAACAAAGCACAAAATCAGAAAAAACGCACAAAAAGTAAAATAACGAATAAAAAAAGAAACTAAAAAGTAAAATAACAAAGAAAGAAATAACCTAAAACAACACAAATGAACATTAAGGAAAAGAAAACTAGCCAAAGCCAACCCGACACAATACAAAGCCCAATAAAAAAACTAAAAAGAAAGAACACCAGATTGATGTTATGGGGATCAACATAACAATATAAGGAGAGATGAAGAATGGACTCCATTGCATCAAAATAATGTTCATATAAGCAAAAATGGGTCCGCCAAGTGCCATGCCAAAACATAACAATTAAACTATAAGGATGCTTTGACCATAAAAATAAAAAAGTATAAATATCTAATTGTGCACCCAAAAAAAAAAACCACTGTCACATTTCCATGAGTGTCTTGGTGTACTAATTACACTTACATTTTAATGAGTATATTTTCCTCGGAATGCCTTGAATGGGGAGCATTGCTAATGCCAAGGCCAAGGCAAGACAAGGCAAGGCAAGGCAAGCCACGACTTGCAAAGGTCATCCTAAGCTTCCAATAGCCTCACTTTCTCGGAATGCCTTGAATGGGGAGCATGCCAAGGCCAGAGCACGGCATGCCAAGGCAAGGCAAGGTAAGCCACGCCATCCCAAGCTTCCAATAGCCTCACTTTCTCAAAATGCCTGCATTGCTCTTTCTAAAAAATAGATTGTTCAGATAACTGAAACACAATACATAACAGACCCCTCAAGGATGTTCTCAAATAAGAATATCTAAACTGAAGTTCTATGATAGAAAACAACAGGCTAACATACAAGAAAGATACTCAACAAACCACTGCTGGGGGATTCTTGTCTTCAACTGCCTTCTTGGCTTTGAGACTTATGGGAACTCCTCCAGAGGTAAAGGCAAAGCAGTATTACGAAATAAGACAATGGAGGAGTTGTGTAGTTTTGGGGTTCTGTTATCTCAATTTTAAGACTCATTTGGTTTTTGAGATATGTTGTGAATTTAGCGTATAATACTAGGGGTGGGCACGGTATGGTACGGTACGGTATTGGACTCATACCGCTACCGATACCGGAAATTAAAATCGGTATGGTTCGGTATGGTATTATGGTTTGCCAAAGTTGGTACCGTACCATACCGTACCAAATCGGTATCGGTATGATACGGTATCATTTTGGTATCAAAATAACAAAACTAAAAAATAAACCAATTGAATATTCAATCTATTCATTCACCAAAGATTCAAATCAATATCATCAACATCCAAATCCTAATCAACCAAATCAATAAACATCAACAAATTCAACATCCATTTGAGTTTGAGTCTTCGATTTTGGGCTTCCAGTTCCAGACAGAGAGAGTGATCAAGTTTTGCACTCTGTATCATAAAGAAACATCAAACATGAACTTGTGAGGTACAAAATTGGTTTCTTTCGTGCTGTTTTATAATTTTAAAGGATAGCACTTTCATTCCTAATCAACTAATCAAAACACAAAAATATAATCAATAAATCAGAACACAAAACCGTAATCAATTCAGATAAATTAATTAATGAAAACCAAAAGCCCTAACCAAATGAAATTCAATTCTGTCAACAAAATCTACGAATTTCAATGCATGAAATTGAATTCCTTTCCTCTGTTAAGAGTAAAAGAGAAAACCAATCAAGAGCTTAATTCAATTAAGTGCAATACCAAGTCAAAAAGACCGAAACAGATTGAGAGACTGAGACAGAGAGAGAAAGATCGAGAGACAGAATTAAGTGATAGATGAAAAACCACAAGCGCAGACAGCTTAGCGTTTCAGAGCAACTAGGAAATAAAATCACAGGTTGTACCTGGTTGCGGTAGGCCACAGCTCCTGGATTTCAGTTTCGCATATATCTTGTGGGAGCTACGAGAGGGAGGAGACTAGACAGATCGTGAGAGTGAGAGAGTGAGAAAGAGATAGAGACAGAGATCCAAGGGTTTGGGAGGCGTGAGAGATCGAGAGTTTGAGAGAAAGAGAGAGCTTGCTGGGAGTGGAAGCAGAGTTTGAGAGAATCTGGGTCTGCTAGGAGGCGTGAGAGATTGAGAGTGAAAAAAAAACTAGCGTATAATTTTGTTTAGGGTTACTATTCGGTACGGTATGGTTTCATACGGTGGCTGATATATGATACCACACCCGTGTCATACAAGATTGGCACGGTACGGTATGATACCGTATTAATTCGGTGGGCATACGGTACGGTATTAAACGGTATGATATGATATGGTATTGACACGGTTTCGGTATTACGGTATAGATGCCCACCCCTACTTTTACAACACTTGGAGATCCCTAAAATCCGAATATTGTTGCTAATGCTTTATATAATACTAGGTTGGCCAGATCTACATTAAAACTCCTAAATACTTATTAGGAGAAAAATTGATCCTCCGCCTTATAGGCTACACTCTCGTAGCCAAAGTATGTGTGTGAATGGTGCTATACACTGGATTTACAACCCTAATGCTCAAGGCAAAGTAGTGAAACTAGCATCAATTGATGTGAAGGACGAAACATTTCAGGTCATGAGACTTCTAAAAGGAGTTTGTGAGCACCATTATTTGGTTCAAGTGGGAGACCATTTGAGCGTGCTCGATTGCGATGGTTTTAGGTCGGAGATCAAGATTAGGCTTTGGACACTGGAGGACTACCATAATGACAAGGCTTGGAGCAGGCAAGAGTTTGATTTTCCATTTGGTTCCATGATGTATCGTCGTCCAAATAAGGATCGCCCCTATAATTCTTAACAAATAAGAAAAGTTTATGTTTGCAAAAAGCATACAGATACGGCTTTAAAATGGCCAAGCCTGAACTATGATAAGTAGCAGAGGAAATCCTCTCAACCCTATCACGTATACTACTTGCCTCATGCATGCTTATGATCTCCATGTAAGTAGATGTGAGCTTGGTGATTGGTATAGTGGAACTATTCAATTAAATATAATTCCCATATAAAATTTCTCATGGTATCAGATGAGCTTTTCAAAGTTTTGCATCTCTACCCAATCCTCGTACGCCTATCATGGCCGGAGATGACAACAACCAAAAGAGCAGTGAATCAAAGCCTGCTTCAGCTACTAACATCTTTTCAAACCCAGACCACCCATATTACCTATCCCAATCGGACCACCCAGGAGCGGTCCTTGTGAAGATACCCATTTCCACCGAAAACTATGGCAACTGGAGCCGGCAGATCAAAACGGCTCTAGGCGCGAAAAACAAAACTTGTTTGATCAATTGTTCTCTTGAGCCACCATCGGAGTTGATCAAACCCACCGAATTCAACCGCTAGAAAAGATGCAATGATATGGTTCTATCGTGGATCATCAATTCATTAGAACCCGACATAGCGAACAGTGTCATATATACCAACTCAGCGCATGAACTCTGGGTCGAATGTTTCAAATAGAGAGAGAGATTGCAACCTTAACGGAAGGACAAATGTTCATCACCTCTTATTACACAAAACTCAAGGGTTATTAGGATGAATTGTCATCTCACAACCAAATCGATACATGTCCATCTGGGAAGTCCTGTGGTGCTACAAAATCAATTATGGATCGTGCAGAACAACAACATTTAATGCAGCTCTTAATGGGACTCGATGAGTCATGTGCAAGCACTTGAAGCAACATATTGATCATGACGCTGCTGCCCACTACTCGGAAAGCCTACAATCTCCTCCTCTAAGATGAAAAACAGCGCCAAGTCGCTACCGTTTCCACCAGTATCAACGAGAGGATGGCTATGCTCAGCGTTTCTAATAACAACAGCAGGAAGCATAACACAGCAAAGGAAATGTCTTCAAATCAATCACCTTACGCCAACAATAATGGCAGGGTGTCGCGCAACAATCAACGAGAGCCTAAACACTGTGTTTACTGTAATGGTGACACGCACAATGTGGAAAATTGTTTTTTTTCTCTCAAAGGTTTTCCTCCTTGGCACAAGTGGCATGGTAGGGAGCCACCTATCCCTCCACTGTGATCCGATGGCAGCGGTCGTGCACATCAAGGGAGGACCAATCAGTTTAACCAAATTGGAACTTAACAACAATTCTCCGCCAACTACATCCAGGGCTCATAATTTCCAACTCACCATCTTCAGTCCATAGCACCTCACCTCTCCCTTGACCAGTGTAAGCAAATAATGGATGTCATTGGTAAGGAAGGAGGATGTTAATCCAACACAAGCAAATTTTAAAGGTCTGAATTCTTCTTCTTGCTTTATTTTTCATGCCAAAACATGTTTACCGGATGTCTGGATCATAGATAGTGGCGCTATTGGCCATATTGCTCACTCTCCTAATCTTTTTAGCACTTTTTCACACACTTCTCTTCCACCAGTCAGGTTGCCCACTTGGGATAGAGCGCAAATCACTTCAATAGGCACTATACAATTTCATGATCTTTTTCGCCTTACTGATGTGCTATGTGTTCCTTCTTTAAACGTCAATCTTCTGTCCGTACCATGTCTTACTCAATCCCTTCATTGTTTTGTTTTTTTTTTTCCTACCTTTTGTTACATACAGGACTTGCGCACGCAGAAGATGATTGGATTGGGTAAGAGGCATGGGAACTTGTATTACTTCGATCCACACCACCTCGCTTCGCATCTTCACTCTTCTTCCACCTACCATGTGACTATTCAAAATAATGTGTGGTACCTTCGATTGGGACATCTTTCCAATGCCAAACTTCGTTTATTATCCAAGCAATTTTCTGATATTTCCTTTCCTAAGTATATTTGTGATTTTTTCCCCTTATCTAAGCAAACAAGATTGCTATTTCATTCCAGTTCAATAAAGAGTATTGCACCCTTTGATTTAATTCACTGTGATATTCGGGGACCACACAAAGTTGCCTCTCACTCTAGTGCCAAATATTTTTTAACTGTAGTCGATGATTATTCCTTAACTACATGGGTTTATTTGATGAAATTTAAATCTGAGACACAATATTTGTTTACATATTTCTTCTCTTTTGTGAAAACGCAATTTAACACCAACATCAAAGCCATTTGTGTCGATAATTGGGGGGGGAGTTTGCATCCTTGAAATCTTTTTTCTCTAACAATGGCGTCATCTACCAACACACTTGCACCTATACACCCAAACAAAATGGAGTTGTCGAGAGAAAACATCAGCATCTCGTTGAAATGGCACGAGCACTTCGCTTGCATGCTAATCTTCCTTTTCAATTTTGGGGTGACTGTATACTCACCGCTGCTTACCTTATCAATCGTCTCCCCACACTTGTTTTAACCAACAAAACACCCTATGAAATTCTCTTTAGATGACCACCTACTTACAAACACCTTCGTGTGTTCGGTTGCTTATGTTATGCCACTAACCTCCAACCCACCAATAATTCGACAACCGAGCTCGTAAATGTGTCTTTGTGGGCTACCCTTTCGGGCAAAAGGCATATCGTTTGTATGATTTTGACAACCGCAAGTTTCTGGTCAGCCGCGATGTTGTTTTTCACGAAACAATATTCTCATTTCTCAGACCCAACACCATTCCTCCATACACCTTCAATTTGACTAAGCCCACAGCACCTCCTAGCCCACTTTCTACACCACCTACCAGCCCATTACCCACCCAAACCATTGCAATGCCAACCTCATCATCCCTTATCTCCTCTGTACCTACTTTCCCCAACACAACCAACATCACCTCTACTCCCTCCCATCCCAACTGCCCAGACACCACTCCTACTCCACCCTCTTCAGCGCTCTGCTCGCATCCCCCAACACTCTGTTCTTCTCAGAGATTTCGAATGCAACAGTACTATGTCCACTACCCATTCCGATTCAACTTTTGCCATCACACGGGGTAAGAGTTCTCGCTTCCCACTTTCTAATTTTATTTCTTACAACAATTTGTCTTCTACTCACCATTCCTTTGTCGCAGCAATCTCTAAAATCATTGAGCCCACTACCTATGCCCAGGCTTCCACTAATCCTCTTTGGCATGAAGCTGTGACAAAGAAAATACATGCACTTAGACTTGGATTCTCACCTCTTTACCGGCAGGCAAACGATCCATTTGTTATAATGGGTGTTCAAAGTCAAATACAACTCTGATGGTACTGTTGAACGTTATAAAGCCCGACTTGTTGCTAAGGGTTACATGTAAAAGGAAGGACTCAACTATAGACATTTTCTCCCACTGCCAAACTTGTTACCTTCCGCTGCCTCCTTACCATTGCAGCCGCTCGTGACTGTCCTCTCCATCAACTGACATGCAAAATCATTTCTTCATGGCGACTTAGATGAGGAAGTTTACATGATCCTTCCTCCAGCATTTAGCCGACAATGGGGGAACTTAGTATGTTGGCTACAAAAGTCGCTCTATGGTTCAAAGTAAGCAAGCCGTAATTGGTTTGCAAAGCTCACCGTTGCCCTTCGAGATTTGTACAATCTATGGCTGATTATTCTTTATTTACAAGGTCCAACAAAAACTCTTTTATTGCTATTTTGGTTTACATTGATATTATTGTGATTACAAGAAATAATCCCCAAGCCATTCAATCTACGAGATTTGTACAATCTATGGCTGATTATTCTTTATTTACAAGGTCCAACAAAAACTCTTTTATTGCTATTTTGGTTTACATTGATATTATTGTGATTACAAGAAATAATCCCCAAGCCATTCAATCTACCAAGGACTTTCTCAATCACCATTTTCGCATCAAGGATTTGGAACTCATGAAATACTTTTTGTGCATAGAAGTGGCACGATTTAGAAAAGACATATTTATTTCACAACGCAAATATGCACTAGAATTACTTGATGACACTGGTTTGTTAGGAGCACGTCCTTCATCATTCCCCATGGAACAGACCCTAAGACTCAACGAAGGAAAATTACTCCATGAACCCACTAGGTACCGCCGCTTGGTCGGATGTCTCATATACCTTATAGTGACTAGGCCAAACATAAGCTTTGCTGTCCACGTGCTCAACCACTACATAAATGAGCCGCACCAGCCACATCTTCGACTACCACCTAGTTTGACAACATCTTGTTTCCGGGCTAATTTCCACAGTGTACACACCTATAAAGATGCAGTTGGCTGACCTGTTTACAAAACCACTAGGCAAGGCACCATTCTCTTTAATACTTGGCAAGTTATGAGTGTATGATATCCACTCACCAACTTAAGGAGGCGTGTTAAGATA